TGTCAGTATAATCCTAATCATAATTATTTGGAACTCTAACTTAAGTGTTCAAATCTCAAAGATAAAATACAATTAGGATTATCTCCAACTATATAGTCCATAAATATATATTATATACCAAAGATGCATTAATTTTTCTAAAGTTGCTTTTATACATACTAATTAGATGTTCTTTTTCCAAACTGATCATTTCCTCATATTATTTATTTTAGATATATTTCATATAGTTGAGAATATTAACTTAAATTTCAAAAGATTTGATAGAAATTTTATTCGACATATTTTTTGATTAGTTAAATACTCCTTAATGAGAAGAAGACTTGTTACTTGTTAGATAGTAAATTTAAAAAGAAATAGATTCTTGTTAAGTAAATTAGTAGGTTTATAAATATATAGAAGTCTAAATAAGGTTAGATATAATATAAAAATGTAAAAAAATAATAATAACAAAAGATGTAGGGTGTAGACACTATAGGATTAAAGAAAAATGAGAGTGCCTATAAATGTGGATATTTGGTTTGAAATTGTTATAGGCTGAATGAGATTAAGATTATTAGAGACCGAACGACACTACTTATTGATTTGTTGAATTGGGATTCATTATATTTGAGCTAAGTCGTGAGTTCGAGTGTTGGATTTGTTAATTGTTGATATGATTGTAATTTTTTGCTATATATTATAATTAATATTGTAGAAAATAGAATTTTTTTGCTTTTAATTGTAAGACAGAATCTAATATCTTATAATTAGCTTAATCAGGTTGACTTATACATTTACCATATTTTTAATTTTCTCCTAATCAGTCAATGACCTTAATTCAATTTATGTTTCTTTGAATAATGATCATTAAATAATTTCACATTTCTCCAACACAAAATAAATCATGTTTCAATTTTTTTCTTGTTTTTTTTAATATAGAGATAAAACAAAGCTGACCATGGCAGATCTCCCCGTGAACATTGCTACTTTATTGTTAATTTTATATAAGGGATTCGAGTTCAATTTTTTTAATCAAAAGATACATGTATTTATCTTTGAATAAATTTTTTTAATACTTATTTCATTTCTTATATTTCATTTTTAATGGTCGATGCATAACAATTTTATTAACATATTACAATACTCTCTTGACTTCTAAATAATGATACTGCAATTCTTTCTTTTGTTAGTTTTTTTTTTATCATTTGATTTTTATATAATTTCTTAAAACGTAAATAATTGATCGAAAATAAGCAAAATAGCGAAATTTTAGCACATATTTAAATATAAATGTCGCAAATATATAAAATTCAGTAATATATATTTTTTATTCACCGAAACTTAAATAGGGAATTTAATTATTAAAAAAGTTTTTTTTTATCCTAATGTGATTTTTGCCTTTTACGCAAAATCGAAATATAATTTGCCAAAATAACAATCGAGGACTGCAAGTTTCACTTATCTAATTTGATCGTATATTATGTAGGGAATCTTATATGATCAAACGAGGACTGATGTATGAAAATATTTTGTGCAAGTAAATTTTTTTAATCTCAAAAGATTTCATACATCATCTATTATATATACATTCAAAATCAAATTTCATATTGTCAACAATAAAATTTATATGAAATATAAATATTCTTGAAATTTTATGCACATTCTAATGACAAGAGTAATGGAATTAGTTACTAAAAAAAAAAAACTTTGGCTTATTGTTACTCAAAAACTAATTCCAATAAAAAAAAATAAAAGCCTCAAAAGAAATATTCCAATCCCTAGTTCATAACGTAATTGAGAGAGTTGAATTTAACGGTGTCCATAGTAAATTAATAGATATCTATAATTTTTATGTAATATTTTATATTTATCATCCATTACTAAAATTCAATTTTTGAATCCCAAATTCATTGCCTTTAACGCCTTAACACCAGTTGACATCCATGTGACAAAAATAGGCAAATCAGCACATTGGGTGTCGACCTGGAAAAAAAAATGTGATTCCATTTAATTTTTTGGATTGGAATTTACATAATGTGAATGTACACGTAGTGTTGAGATGATATGTATGGTTGATATTTAACGGTAAATGACGAATTTGGAATAGTTTCAAGAGGTTAAAGATTTAAAAAGTAAATTTTGAAAATTATGAATAAAAATAAAATATTATACAAAAGTTATAGATGATATAATTGTGTCGCTAATAGCCACATAATTTGTTGATAAAATATTATATTTTTAGTTTTAAAAATCGGAATTCAAATATTTACAACCTTAAATATATAAAAATAATAATTGAATCATTTATTCAAATTACTGTATTTGGATTCTGAGCGAAAAGGATCAATGAATTTATTATAAAATAAGATGAGATTGTTAGATTTTGCTTGATAGGATAAAAATATGAGAGGATGACAAAAATGAAAAGAAAATATTTTTGAATAGTATTTGATACTAAAGAAAAATAAGAAGAAAGATGTTATTTTTACTCTTATACATAAATGAATCATTTTAAATTACAAAGTTATTAGAAGAGAAAACAGAAGAGTTATCAATAAGTCTAAGTGTTGCATATTTATAAAATTGTCAATCACTATTTAAATTTTACACTTTCTTTTAATTCTGAAAAGATATATTGATATAATTTCATTTTTATCAAACAGTTAATAAAGGAAATTATATTTCTTCTTAATTTTTTCATCATTCCTATCAAACAGAAGATTTTTGTATGAGTTTGATGATTTGTTAAGTTATGTATTAATTTGTTGATTGGTTTGTTTGTTGATTTAATTCAAAGATTTTTTTTTATATGTGATTTTTTTTTGTCAAAATATAATATTTGATTATGGTTTTTATTTTTTCTATACTTGTAACTTTGTTAAAATAAAATCTAAAAAGAAGGTTAGTGGAAATATAAATTAATTCAATTCGTGGAACGGGAACCGAACATAATTCGCTATTTACCTAAAATGTGGTAACATAGGTTTAGTCTTCTTTGATTCGCTCGAAAGGAACGAAATAAAACGTTACAATTTATATATTCATTATTAAGTGTTAATTAAAATAATTTAAATTAATCTTTTAAAAAATAACAGATAACATTTAGAAGGATTTCCAATAGCAATTCACATAAAGAAGAGATTTCAAAGTCAAATATAATAATATCTTGAAAGTCATAAATAAAAAGATATTATAATTCAACTTCAGATCGCTCGGTTTTACATATTATATCGTTTTTTTCATCGTGTTTCAGATTTTTTAAATCTAGTTGGTGTGGATGTACCTGAACCAGATAACTCTGATCTTACTCAATTGGTCAAGATCGAAGTAACTTGAATCTTTTTTTTTTCTTATTTCTTCGTTTCACTTATTTTCCACAAATCGAATACTTCATAGGAACGGATGCACCAGGTTGAGCTGCGGAACCCTTTAGCCCAACTGGTTTTATTGCGGGACGATTCATGATGTTCATATCGATCTATTATGCATCTTTGCATGTAGCAGGGGGCAGACCTTAATCCCATACAATAATTATCCTAGTTCTACTCTATCTTTTGTTTCATTTCATCCGAACAATTATAAAGACTTTTTTAATTATAGACGGATTATCAGAAATTCAATGCATAATCTTAACATTCAATATGTATTTTTAAATAATCTCATTTTTTAATTATTTAATCATTTTATTTCATTAAGTTTAATGTTAGCCAGATTAATTAACATTTATATGTTTCAATGCAACAACAATATGTTATTTGTAATAAGTAATTCATATTTTATTAATTTGGGTCAGCTCTTTAAAGAAGTAGAAGTGAAACAGAAAACCCATGAACAATTCACGGCCTGGCTGTCTGTATGTCTCCTCCAATAAGCTTTTTGTTTTAGTTGTTCCGTTCTTAAAGAGTCGTTCTAAGGCTTAGGTCGTCGTGCTTTGTAAAGGGAGACGCAGCCTTCCTCGGTCTCTTCCGTTTAATCTCTCTAAATGAATAAAAGAATCTTTTGAATACTATTGAGATGAATGAATTTTTTTTAATTTTCATTGACGTATTGAGAAGGTTTTTGAAAATTTTTTAATATTTAAAAAGTGGAGTGAAAGAAAACAAAAATAAAAAAGAAAATTGTTGATAATAAAAAAATTAAAATAATTAAATTAATACATAAGAAAATTAAAGATCTATTTATTAAGAGTAAAAAAAAAAATATTCATGATTAATTGATATTGTTCTTTGAACCAATGTCACATGGTGTTGATATCTTCTTTGCTTGTAACGTACTTTCAAATTCAGTTGTTTTGTAGACAAGAATTATCATTTTTAAAGAACCCAATAAGATTTAGGGTGACAAATCACACAAACAAAAAAAAAAAAAAAAAAAAAAAGAAGAATTGATAACGTCTTCGTTGTCATGTTGAACAGTCAGGTCCCTGAACCATAACCATAACGACATGTATTTTGTAAAAGCTAGTGTTACCTTATTCCATCAAGCATCATTGCCATTAAAATTTTGGATTTGTTCTTTCTAAACTATTGTTTACCTGAATCAACCTTTAACTAACTCCAATACTTAACACAACTTAACATTAAATCTCTTTTTGAAATTTTGTTCAATCAGTTTCCTAATTACTCAAAACTTATAATCTTTAATTACATATTCATCCATGTTTAAGACCATATGCCTAAAACAAACAAGAGGCTTGACCTCAACCTTGCATTTATCTTGGATACTCAACATTGACGTGCCTATAAATGTTTTTATTGAAGTACATTTAATTTTCGTAGCTTTATTCCATATTTAGAATAACAATAAATCTATTTTCAAATGAAATCATTGACTTTCATTAATTACAACAAATCATGCAATAAATATAAATTTCGAAAAGGTTCTTAAACCCCTCATTATTCACAATAATAATTTCAACAAATCTGTCTATTATGGCATGAGGAATACATTATTCTTGCTTGAATTGAAACAAAATCAATAAATAAACACGTGCTTAATAGCCTTTAGGAGGTGGTGATGACTTGTAATAATAGGGATGAGAAGACTTGGATGGTGGTATAGGTGATTTATAGAGGTATGAAAAAAGTGCATGATGAAATGGAGGTAATGGAGACTTTTAATGATGGGATGGAAAAAGTTATTTATAATAGTATGGAGGAGGAGGCGAGGGTGAAGGTGGTGGAGGGGACTTGTACAAGTAAGGAAGAGGTAATGATGGTGATGGTGGTGGAGGAGATTTGTAGATGTAAGGAAGAGGTGGTGAGTGAGGTGATGGTGGTGGTGGAGACTTGTAGGCATATGGTGAGTGAGGTGACGGTGGTAGTGGAGACTTGTAGGCATATGGAGGAGGTGGTGAAGGTGATGGTGGAGGTGGAGATTTATAAACATAAAGAGGTGGAGGGGATGGAGATGGGGGTGGTGGAGACTTGTAGGCATATGGAGGAGGTGGTGAACGTGATGATGGTGGTGGTGGTGAAGGTGATGGTGGAGGTGGAGACTTATAGACATAAAGAGGAGGAGGTGAAAGAGATGGTGGTGGTGGAGACTTGTAGACATATGGAGGAGGAGGTGAAGGTGAAGGTGGTGGTGGAGATTTATAAACATATGGAGGTGGAGGGGATGGAGATTGGGGTGGTGGAGAGTTATAGACATATAGAGGAGGTGGTGAAGGTGATGGTGGAGGTGGAGACTTGTAGACATATGGAGGAGGAGGTGAAGGTGATGGTGGTGGTGGAGATTTATAAACATAAAGAGGTGGAAGGGATGGAGATGAGGGTGGTGGAGAGTTATAGGCATATGGAGGAGGTGGTGAAGGTGATGGTGGAGGTGGAGACTTATAGGCATATGGAGGAGGTGGTGAAGGTGATGGTGGAGGTGGAGACTTGTAGGCATATGGAGGAGGTGGTGAACGTGATGGTGGTGGTGGAGATTTATAAACATAAGGAGGTGAAGGGGATGGAGATGGGGGTGGTGGAGACTTGTAAGCATATGGTGGAGGTGGTGAAGGTGATGGTGGAGGTGGAGACTTATAGACATAAGGAAGAGGAGGTGAAGGAAATGGTGGTGGTGGAGACTTGTAGACATATGGAGGAGGAGGTGAAGGTGAAGGTGGTGGTGGAGATTTATAAACATAAGGAGGTGGAGGGGATGGAGATGGGGGTGGTGGAGAGTTGTAAGCATATGGAGGGGGTGGTGAAGGTGATGATGGAGGTGGAGATTTGTAGACATAAGGAGGTAGAGGGGATGGAGATGGGGGTGGTGGAGAGTTGTAGGCATATGGAGGAGGAGGTGATGGAGATGGAGGTGGTGGTGGTGGTGGTGGAGAATTGTAGACATATGGAGGAGGTGGTGAAGCTGATGGTGGAGGTGGAGACTTGTAGACATATGGAGAAGGTGGTGGTGGTGGAGACTTGTAAACATAAGGAGGGGGAGGAGATTCATAATAATATGGTGGGAGAGGAGAATGCTTAGGAGGTGGGTGCCAAATGTGCTTAAACGGTGGTGGTGATTTGTACTGGCCTGGTTGGAGCGAAGGCTGCTTTGGTGGTGGGGGTGAAGCGTACTCGTACGGTTGGTAATCAGCTACAATAGAAGAGGTGACAAGGCAGAATGCTACTGCGTAAACCAGTTGATGCCATAGGCCCCGCTGTTCGGGGGTTCCCATTTTTTTCTAGCAATTAAACTCAATTTTCAGAAGATAGGCCTTAGAACTATTGTTGTTTCACTTGCCTAATATCCATGTTGCAAAGCCCCTTTATAGCATTCTCTTCAATCATTTGGGACAGACTTTTCCACCCCACGAACATAACAAGCTGGATTAAAGCTTCAAAATATTGCTCTAGAGATACCACTTTTGACATTTATTTTATTTTATTTTATTTCCACTTGTAATTTTTTTGGGTGACTTCCCGCTAGATGGCCCAAGTTTGTGCATGAAATGCCAAGAACAAGTCAAAATGTATAGTGGTTGAAATGCTGTATGGCTGGGTAATCAATTTCAGAAAACGCGTCTCCAGGTAAACATGGCCGACGCCTTGTAAATTAAAGAAGTTATGAAGTTCATGATATGGAAACACTACTCTGAAAGAAAGATACAAAGTCAAAAAACTGAATAATTGCCATAAAATAATGTGTAATTGGCTGTCTTCAATTAAATGGCAAAGTCTTCTCCTTTATTTATTTATTTATTTATGTTTTTACGTTCTAAGAATCACAAATGGCTGGTTAGTGTGTACAGGGTTTTTTTTTTTTTTTTTGGAATAATTTAGGCACAAATATTCTATAAAATTGTATGGTACCTTCTTTGAAGCTAGATACAACGTCGGTGACATTAAAATTAACACTAAGAGGCAACTAAGAGGCCAACTATAGCTGCCTTAATTAATTCAATTGTTATAAGATATAGAAATGATTTATTTATATGATCGTGAATTTCCAATTATTGTGTTGTAGTCTTCATTGACAATAAGCTTAAATCCCCCAAAAATATATATTATAATTAATAAGTGTATGCTAGTTAAATTGGACACAAAAAGATAATACGCACATTTTTGTCGAAGAGGACAGAAAGATATGAGCTGCTAAAAGCCTAAAACCATTGAAGTGCAAAATAAGTGTGTAATCCAGACAAGCTATATCTGACTAAAACCGCACGTCTGTTGGATACTGATTGCAAGTTAACATTCACCGAAGTATTTTGAATTCAGTTACCTATTTGAGGCCTTGCTAGTTTTACCTAGAAAGCCTACATTGGCACGTGACTTAACGGTCTAATTCGATTTAATCTAAAATTTAATTTTATTTAATTTTTTATTTAATTTTAATATTAAGATATATCTAAAAATAATAATGTTTTAATTTAAAAAAGAAAAAAAGATTGAATTTTTTAGCGAAGTCATAACTTGAATAAAATTTGTGAATGCTCTATTGAACAGGATTGGACCCAATCCATAAATAGATTTAAACATATCATTCATTCGGCTTTTGTTTAATTCCTTATTCTTTTTCATTTCTTCCAAATTAGTCCGACAAATCAGCAGATGTTGCTGCCTTGGAAGAACTTGAAAATATAGGAAGATTAATTAACTTGTCAAATGAATCGGTATAGAAAAATACAGGTAAAACATGCCAGAGCCATAACGTGCCGCGTTTTCATATTGGAGAGGAATGGCAGAAGAGAATTTAAAGTTGATAAAATTTCAACTACTTTCATCCGCAAGATGCACTTTCAAGTAGCACTCTCCTCTATATTGGAGAGAAATGCTGGCTTCCAAGCAGATGTATGAAAATTTATCAAACTAAGACCAAGTAAAGAAGGTTTTTTTGAAGATGAGTCATTCAGCATCCTTCTCCCATTGGACTGGGACTGGATGATTCCTGTAACTTCTTTGCCTTAGATTAACTAACTAGAAGTTAATGGCCAAAATGCAAAGGGAATGAACAATTTGAATAAAGACTAAAAACATCACTGAATCATTGAAACTCTCTATGCAATCTCCTGCCTTTCTAATTAACACATCCATCTTCTACCATGTTCACTTCACACCTTTCATTTATTCCAAAAGCTAATCAACTGTTCTGTTAAAGAAAGTAGAACAAAATATAGCATCTTCGTATTAGGTGAAAATACCCAAACCAAGCCCAAAAAAAAAAAAAAAAAGAAAAAGCATATGAATATTTTCTTTATGTTCGTCGTGATTTATCCCTCAATGTTTTGATGCATCACCAAACACCTCAGTATAACATATGGGGCAAGCCTGGACAAATAAAAATGCATTTAGCAGCTTTTAAAATGCTACCTAAATATATAAAGATATATTTTTTTAAGATATATGTTACCAATTCAGTCAGGAAAAAGAAACAGGAGAAAAGACAAAAAACCAGTGGCTCACCTTGTTGATGCTAAGCCATCTGGTGCCACACCTAGCATGGTAGACATGTTTGCAAGGCAGAGTAATCTGTCTCTCACCTCTTTTGTATTCCATTTGGCAAATTACACATCTAGTCCAAAAAATAATAATAATTAGATTCACCAGCACAAAGTCTTGACCTAGAGTGAGAGAAGGAGCAAAATCCTTAATAAAACAAGCTGCAAATCTCGGGTTTACAAAGGATGTGCCAAGCAAGCATATTATTCACACAACTAAAACCATGGCATTATCCATAAATCCTGGCATCGATTTTGAAAATTTTAGAATGAATTATGCACACGGTTGATATTCCTATCACTAGTGATCCACTGCTCAAAAGCCAAGAGGCAAATTATATTTAGATGCCAGGCATACCACAGCCCGAAAGAACAGACCTTTAGAATTATTTCCGAAAAAGAACATGCACACCTGCGCATGGTGCAAGGACATAAGCAAAGAGAACTAACGGTCATGTATCCAGATTATTATCTTACCTTTTCACTGACTCACTAGAACCTTTTACAAGGTAATCCAACAGAGGGTTTCAAAAAAAAAAAAAAAACATTATTGTTATTATTGCATAGAGGTGGCAACTGGCCAATCATTTATCTACATATATGAATCTATGCACCCACCATTAATTTCAATAAATTAACACATCTCAGATTTATTACAAACCCATTTAAGTAAATGGGCTTTTCCTTTAAGAAGATAAAAGTGGAAAGACTTGCTCAAGACCTAAAATCCCAATGGGCAGTAGATTACAAGTTAGGTTTTTGACCTATCCTGATATTACTAGGTTTCTAAATGATCAGAGGCTGCCTTAGAAAATGCTACACAAACATCAAATCCCCCTACTGAAGTCTGCTGATCAGAATGTCTTACTAGAATCCTAGTTGGTCATACCTGTTAATAGAACAAATAATATAATTAGTGTCCAATTTTTTACCTCTTTCAATATGCGAGTTTAGATTGATTTTGATGTTTTGACCTTGAAAACAAATACACCCACAGACACTCTCAAAGCATTATCTCAAGTAAATAAATCACTTACTGTAATCACTCAACCATTTTCAAGCTTCTCAATGCTCTATTTAAAGATAACTGCTAAGAGATCAATAGGCTCAATTTGAAACCTTTTTACAAGAACCAAAACAATTATACAACCAAAAAGAAAAGGTACAGTGAGTTCGTTCATGGAAAGGGGAAACCAAGGACAAATCTTAAATATGGATAGATTTTTATTAAATGTAATAAGACCTTGCAAGGCAGCAAAATTATACATCAAGAACACCACAAAGAGGAACTAGGGTTTCATATTTCAATTTAAAATCTGTTGAATAACATAACCAGTTTCAGGTAAAGCAAATCGAATTTAACAGACAAAGCTAAGAAGCACACGAGTACCTCTCATTCCTTGATTTCTTCCTTGAGAATAAGCTGCATTTGTATTTTGAAACTGGGAGCAAAGAAATAAGTTCTTGGGAGAGACCTCGACTTTGAGTTCCGACAGTCTCCCCTAATTCAAGTAATTCCTGAAGTGATAGATAAAAACAGGAATAATTGATCACAAATAAAGAAAAGGAAAAAGAAGAAAAAAACCACAGATACACAACCCAAAATTTCTGAGAAATGAATGAAAATTATTTGAGTAAAATTTTATTCAATATTAATTTGTTGTATTCATTAAAACCAATGGGAATGTCCTTGCAAAGGATGTTTGCTAATGCATTACTGTAAAAGAGATGAGGATTTAACTATAATGTTTTAAACCATTAAAATTAAGCAAAAATTTCAACTAAAAGGACAGCTTCCTTGGCTGGCTCTAAGTGAGCATAACCAAGGGACGGCTTAAAACAAACAGTAGGTAGCTTACATGATTGCCTAGACAACTAATGCAGTAATTGTAGCTGCAGTTTTATGTAATGCCAGCAATTTAGAATTCTAAGGATCAAAAGTATGCCCTGAGGAGAGAAGCAAATTCTTTGCTCAGAAGCATAGTCAGTCGGGGACTAGGAAAAAAAGGTGTCTATTAAACTAAAAAAATAAGCAGACAGTATTCCAACTTTCTACAGAGTTTATTGAACTTAAAGAATGTTACATGATTCCAGCACCTTATATCTGGCTAATTTCCACCAGTAACAATAACCATATACCAGTTAAATTCTTTTCTTTTTCTAATTTAAGTTACCAGTACTCTACTGAGAGCACAGTAAGAAATCTTTTTCCTGTAATTTCTGAAGAATTCATAAGTGAAAAAGATTCACTAACTATATAACAGCAATTCTGCAGTTAAGTCCATTTCAAATCAATGTGTTGGTGGATCTCTATTTATTATTAACTGAAATGTTTGCAATAGATAAAGAAATTTGTTCTCAATGCTAAATTAAGAGGGCTCATTAAATCTTGTGCCTAAAATAATTTCTATAATTCAAATTTAAAGACACAGCACCTATCAGATGTTAGAAACATTCAAAAGACAATAGTCATTATTTACTGCACACGCCACATATCCTCAACCAAAAGCAAGTCTGTCAATCTTGCTAGGTTTATCAGCTTTTAACATGTTTAAAAGTCTCTAATTAAAACTCTTAGTATGTTATAGCCTGATTATACTGCATATTTTCCTAACCTATGAAGATTGCCCCTTTGATAGTTTCTGGCTTGTCAAAATAAAGCCAGCTCATTCTATTTGTAACCAGAATCTTGCCCCTAAATCCTACCCCCATTTTATCAAGATTTTTAGAAAGCTACATGTCATGAATTGTTAACTTAAAGAATGATAATATAAGTGTTTTCTCTACGACCTTGATGGAGCTGTGAATGAACAAGTTTCATTACTATCAATTGCTTAACTTTAACTTCAGCAATTTAGAATTTATGATTTTTTAAAGTGCTTTTTAATATTGGGGAGAAGAAAAGTAATTTCTTTAATTCTTATGCTCTCAGAACATCTAGTCAGGTTTAGGGTACTCCGGGAGTTAAACGCTTTTATGAATTTAGGTATAGTTTGTTGGCACGTAAGTTATTCATTAGGCAGTTTTCTACTTAGAAGTCAAAGTCCTTACAAGCCAAATGAATGTAAGTTAGTGGTTGAGGTATGCATATATAATGCTCGTTCTCACTCTCTTCCCTTAATTTTCTGCACCCTGCTTATTCATTTTCTGCAGAGTAGAGCCAATAATAGCTCCTCCTTTTATGTGGGGTTGTGCAGCAGTGACCCACTAACATGTCATAGTTTTATTTCCGATTCCTTTTAAGAACATTTTTGAAAATATGTTAGCATTCCTACCCATCCCCTCGCACTACCCCAAAGAAAATCAATATATGTTCTAAACCCCAAAATGCATACTGCTTTAACTTTTCATCAATCCAGCCTGAACAACTAAAACAGGGAGAATGACTTCTGGCTCTATCCTGTTTTATAGCTGTCTCAATAGCACAGCAATCAAATCACAAACTTTCCTGACCTGAAGATCTAATGCTTCCAAACCTAATCACCTACTTCATAGCCTATATTAATAAAGGTATTATTAACATAGTTAATTTAACAGTTACAGTAAATCCATATCATATCTTATAAGTTAAGTTATCCATAGCCTGGCTTAACCACAAAATATTTAAAAAAAAAAGAAAAGAAAGATAAAATAAAACAGCATTGCTAACAGAGCTTCTTCATAGTTCTTGAACACAAGGTTTTAATCTTCAAATGCATCTCCACAAACATTGTGCCAGTAACTTCATTTTGTTTTTCTTTTTTCTCAAACTTAGAAATGCACCAAATTAAAATAAGACTTAATTGACAGGCTACTGAGAAAAAGTAAAGAAATGAGGCAACTATTAAGCAAGACAAAAAGAATTAGGAAATTTTTGCTCTAACCTCATAAGTCATGTTGTCAGGATCAACATTATCTTGCCAAATGACCTGCATATTTTAACAAAGTTTTGCAATGTTTAATACTTTGAACCATGAAACTGAAAAGAAAAATTCAAGCCTCTATAACTCTATAAATATTTATTCTTGGAAAAGCAATTACACTCTCAACATGTATACAGCATAAAAAACATAGAATAATCAAGTCACCGGTATTAGATGCTGAGGCAAATAATCTTTTAACATGTATAGGTACGAAAATCAATAGAATGCATCTGTAAGAGGGTTGCCCACAGGTGTTTAACAAAGAGAGAGAGAGAGAGAGAGACCTGGTAATCATGAGCATTATGTTGTCTTCGTGGACCTATAGAGTGAAAGAAAAAGCAATGCAATTAGGAAAATTAAAAAAAAAAAATAAAACCCACATAAATATTGTTAAAAGTAAGAATATGGTGTCATCAAACCAAATGGTAGTTAAAAATTGTGATTAATTTACATAATTTGAGAATGTTTATATTAATAAAGCCCACCACATCAACTTCTCTTTTAACAAATCATACCAACTAATTCAGTTAAGCCACATAACTTCATCTTGGTCGATCAATTTTTTAAACAACTTTGCTCCTTACACTAAAAGACATGCACTGGAGAGCATACTCATAAGTAGAACTTGTTTTAGTTGATGTGCAAGCTAAGTTAGCTAGGCTGACATACAAGCCAAGCCACACCAAACTTAGAGGTATTTGAACTCAGCTAGGAACAAAAGCTAAAATTCAAGATTCAAGCATTAGTAAACAAGCTAAAATTTCAATTGGATGAAGCTTGAGAACTTCAGGTCAATCAATCTTAATTTGTCTACGGCAGGCCCAAGTCAGTATTGCTATATGTGGCAAAGTAGTTGTCTCTCTGTAGGGAATAACGGCAAGGAATTTGCTTGACAATAGCCTTGGCCACTTGAGTGGTGGTGGACCTGGTCTTTCTGATGGTTTCTCGGTGCTGCTGGCACCTTAGTTGAGTCTTCAGGAGGCAGCACTATTTCGGTAATGAGGGTCATCAGGTCATATTGGTATCTTATTCTGGTCATGTTGGGGTGCCAGAGATCAATGGTGATGCTGTTATAGTGGTTGTATTAAGGTTTCAGTTGTTCAGAGCCAGGAAGAAGAGCAAGGAATAAGCACAAGCACATGTAGATACATGGTGGAGGAACACTCTGATATAACATTTGGTGTTCAGGATCAGGGCTACCGTTGTATTGCAAAATTTTCTAACATGGCTAAACCCAGCTGAACCCACCAACTTCACCGGGTAGGAAAACGACATCTGATGAGAATGTTGTTACATGGTTTAGTACTAGCAAAAAAATTATTAAAGAGTGATCCTAAAGAACTGGAGAGGGAGAGGAATACCAGAAAATCAATCTTATTGCAATTGAGAAGTTTTAGTTATTGTTTTATTACCAGGTTTAGTGGTCACTTTATGACCAGAACCGGTGACATGGAGGACGGCATTCTACATCATGATCAAAAGAAATGGGGGAAATGACACCTTAAAAGTAAAAGACAGCCAACTCTATTATGTCCATCATGGCAAAAAGCCAAAAACTATCAGCAAGGGATAACAGAGTCTTTGGATAGCTTTGAAAATTTTGTAGCTGCTAGACTGGACCTTTTATTCTGATCAAAGAAAAAACTACACAAATTAATCATGAAGGTCACTGAATCCTTAATTTTATCTTCAATCATTTGTGGTTAGAAGTTTAAAATCCACCAAGACATAGATGCAGGGCAATATACTGGGAGCTAAGGACTTGATTGTTAGAAACCACAGCATCCAATCATAAAACTAGGGAAAAGCATAAAGTTGCAAAACAGTTTGACATTTCATTATTACTATAGAAATTAAAGTCCTAAGGACAAATTTAATTTATCACATTATCTAACACTAGTTACCAAAAGTAATCTTGAGATGGAAAGAGCTAGATATAAGTGATGTATTACGGGCATTTTGACAGTTAAACCATGATGAAACATGCCACTGACATAATGTTTGGCCTAATTGTTAAAATATAGACACCACTATAAACCTTCTTAACATTACATTACATACCTTAAACACAGATTTGAAACTAAACATCAAAGAAGAACCAAAAACTTACAATCTACTGGATTTTCATGCGAGGTAGTATTTGCATTTCCTTCCCATTCCATATTCATTGCTGCAGTCTGTACATTGCTCATTGATGAGGAATTCTCTGATGCCCTTCTATATTCATCAAGGCATAGTTCATGGTTGTTCACCTCATAACTATGACCATCATCATAATATGAAATATTGCCAGAATCAGATAATCCAAACTTGTAAAAGCTTGTAGTCATCGATGGGTAAACACTCTCCTGTGGACAAAATATCAATTTTTGGCTGTGAACAATAGCAGCAATTCATTTACTTTAAAACATCTAACATACATACAAAGGATATGATATATTATACATCCAAATCCTTCAAACACGCCAAGAGACATACATTGTTGCAAGCTAAGAAGCAGATATCTCCACGATACAATGGAGCAATTAAAATTAACTCGCCCATAAAATCGGCATATTTTTCATCTGATTATTCTCAAACAGGCATGACGTTAAAGGAAATCATTTCAGTGCATTCAAAAACAATAACTTTGATAATAAATGGCACCTGAACATGAGCACCGTCGAAAATGAAATTGACATGTTGGTAAGTAAGACCTTCGAAATATTCCATAAAGCTGCCAGCACTATTATAAGGGTAGCTACCGTTGATGTACTGAACTTCCATATGTGGATTCCAACTCATTTCCAAAAATCCAACTAATCTACGAACATAAAAGATACTAAAAGCCATAAAATTTTACATTTCAAAATAGCAATGAGTAGTAGAAACATACCAAAATAAAATAAAATAAAATAATTCCAAATGCAAACCTGATATCCTCAAAATTTTCAAAAACTGCAAGCAAATTTTAGTATCCTAACATTCAAGGGAGATTCCTCCTACAAAAATATGATAAACAAAGAGTAAACATTAAACTATTTACAAAAGTTAGTTGAAACGATGATATTCAGGTTACCGCAACAAACGCGTTACAAGTTATCCAATTTTCATTTTCAAGTAAAAGACAACGTGTAAAACAAATTGATTGATTTTCCGTTTGGTTGCAGAGAAAAAGCAGGAAAATAACGAAGAAAGAGAAGTAAATTACTGTTAAGCTTAGCGTGAGCTGATCAATGAGTAATCTACTGATAAACTTACTTCCCGGTTGCTTTTATCCTGAACTTTCTCAGGAACCAAACAGGAAAATGAGAGAGAAAACTTAAAACTACCTCATTCTACGATTTTCGGATCTCCAGCTGAGAAAATGCGAGATTTTCTCAGGAAAACTGAAAAGCGAGAGAGTGAGAAACGGATTTAAGGGATCAGGAGAGCGAGATAAAGAAGAGATTGAAATATTTAATGCGATAAAATATTAAAATAAAATATTTTAAAAAAAAAAAAGAAAAAGGAAAGAAAAGGAAATTAAAGTAAAGAAAGAGAGAAGAAAAGAGAAGACGAGATTCTTTGGGAAATAATGAAGAGATGAAAGAGCCGACATTCATCGCTTTTAAACAAACAACAATCTCTTTATATCTCTGTTTTTTCCTTTCTTTATTTAATTAAGAATTTTGCAATATTTTGTATTAAATATAATAATTAATAATTAATTTCATAAATTTTAACATGTTAAAATTATTAATTTTAAAAAGGCCTTTGTCACTTCACTTGTTGGCAAAACTCATTAATTGTTTATATTAATGGAAATTAAATTTTGATTTTAATTTTTTTTTCGGCAACTATGTTGTTTTTATGACACCTTTATGTAGTAGTCTAAGGAATCCGTTAGATGGGAAATGATAGCGTGTTTCGTGCTTACGGGGACAAAGGATGGAGTCGTGATGAATTTTTATTCGTTGGAACCTGAGTTAATTATATATATTAAATATTTAAATTTAATTTAATTTAATATTACATAAATCATTTAATCTAAAATTAATAAAATATTTATTTTTTAATATAAATAAAAAATTAAATAATATAAATATAAATTTAATTGATTAAAAAATTAAAAATAATTTATATATATATATTAAGTCAAGTAAAATTAAATTTACTTAAAATTCAATCTCGATTCATTTCAATTTTTATTTTTATCATTCAATCTCGATTTGATATTTAATTTAAAAAAAATATTTATCATAAAAAATTAGATCGAATCAAAATTTTTTAAGTAAGAATCAAAATTCCTTCTCTATTCGTGCTATCAAATAAGGTAATTTAATGCTCTCTACTTACGTCCCTTGGATTTTCACCTCTTTTCCTTTGCTCTATGACCCCAACAATTACATTTTACCTCTAATTCATTTAGCTTTATTAAAATAAAAAAATAATTATAAAGGTGAGGTTAGTTATTTTTTAAAATCAATTTTAAAAAAATATTTATTTAATAAAAATAATGATAATGATGAGGTAAAAATATAATTAAATAAGTTATTAAATTAAATGAACTTCTTAATTTTTTATTTTTTTATATAAGTTTTATGTCTTTATTTTTTTTATATATTTTTATTATATTCAAATAAACTCTTATGATTCAATTTGTTTTTAAATAAACTTTTATTGCAATCAAAGTAAATTTTGTTATATATAGGATGACTATAAACTGATTTAAATTGGTTTTAAGGAAAAATAAAACCAAACCAAGATATTTTGGCTTTTAAAAATTTGAATCTAAACCACAATAGAAATCAAATCAAACCAAATGAAAATAATTTAGTTTGTTTTTAGTTCAGTTTCTTATTTTGGTTTGATCTTTTCTAACAATGTATATTAAAACATGAAAAAAAAAAATCAGTTCTATACTTTAGAGAGTGTAGAATCTTATCTATTTAATTAGATCTTTCATAAATAAAAAAAATAATAATATGGAATTGAATCAGTACACAAAATGAGAGGAAAATGAATCTTCATCTTTCATTTTGAGTGAAAATGGTAGAGAGGAGGGATGTTGATTTTGGAAATGAAAAGTTAGAGCCTAAGAGGTGGGTGATGTATATGATTAACTATTCAAATAAAACCCTAAATAATTTTAGAGAAAATATTAATAAATAAAAATTTTAAACAAAATAAAATAATAAAATATTTATATAAAATTATGAAACCTAAATAATCTTTTTCTCAAAATCAATGTCAATGCACCTTTTATGGGTGGTGGGAAAAGATATATTCCACTATCTTGGCACATATTGAAACCACAAAATGTGCCGTCACTTATACACAAACGTAATGTTGTAATAGTAACATGGAAGCAAATCCCCAAAATTATTGCAATACATAAAACTTTTTTTTTGGGTTCACGGATTGAACAACATTATTCAGTGCCTTTTTCTTTTGGATAAAGCTAAAAACACTATCCAATCAGATGAAAAAACATATGATTTTTGTCTAACTACCAATTCTGGACTATTTGCTTTTGATTAAGTGCCAATTCTAGGCTTCTACTTTAAGTCCAAGAAAAAGGAATTGTACAAGTGAGTTTAATCAAATTCATACAAAAGAAAAAAGAGTTTGAATTTTGAAGTTTGGCCTACCAAAATTGAACTGGGGCATTTGGACCCCATGTTTAAAAGCAGATTCCAGGACTCACTATGAATTTGTAAATTTGTGTATTTGCATGTTTATTTAATATAAAATATATAAATTATTGTATTATAATTTGTATTAATATTTTAAATATAAAACATATTTTTATTAAATTCATGTATGATTTTTATAAAAATTTTAAATAATTTTATTTTTATATATTTTTATATTATTTTTATGTTATGTAGCCTTTATCATTTTTCAAATTAGAATGTAAAAAGGGAGGGGAGGGTTCCAAGTTAGTGGTTGGCTTGTGAGTTGAAAAATAAAGCATGTGATTTGGTTGGACAGGAGAGATCACCAAAACCATCTGATGCTCTCTCGAAGAAGTTGGTGTCAGTTGAGATTGGTTGGGAATCAACCTATAATAATACAACACACCTTTTTTTTTCGAAAAAAAAAAAAAACACTTGGATTTTAGGCTTTGCTGTAATCTCAAAGTGGTTGATAAAATTTGGATGTAATATGTGTTTATGGCTTTTGATTTGATTTCGCACCTGCTTGGTGGCATTCAAGATTATGTTTTGTAAACACTAATTTAAGATGGTTAAGATATTATTTTAAAAAGTTTCAAGTAATACATTATTCTCACTAAATTTAAAAAATTTATCATAAATTTTTTTTTTTAATTTTTATGTCTAAATAGTGTTAACATTTTTCATATTTTTAAGTCATTTATATTATATATGCCACTTATAAATGTGTTTATTGGTAAATTCAACTTGAATTTACTTGAAATTTTTAAAAGTACTCAAGTTCAAACTGAATGGGTTTATTAAAGTTTTTGTTTAGTTTTAAAAATATTTTTAGATTAATATTTGAGTATTTTTAAATATATTTTATATTTATAATTATAATTAAATAATAATAATATCATATGACGAGCAGAGCTTTAGTCTACTCAACACATCTAATCACTTGATGAAAATATATATATATATATATATATTTCTCAACTTGAAATGTCAGAAAAAATGGATTTGTTTGTGAAGATCAACATTGTTAAAGTATATAATCTCAAAAATTCTAAGCAATTAATCTTTATTATTAAAAACAAAAAGAAACAACATAAAAAGAATCAAATCATTCAAGACTTTTTTGGAATTTACTTCAATGGGACCTACATTGTTGTCGTTGGCCATGAAAAAGGAAGAACTCAACCCTGACTTGTGAATCAAGATTTCGGCAAAGATAAAATTATTCCTAAGACATGCAAGGCCTGGAGGTTAGTTTATTATTAGGTTCCCTACCAAGTAGTGCAAAGAGAAGGATTTTTTTTTTTTTTTCTGACAGATGATTTTGATCATCTACTCGTTACTTCATGTAGTTTTATTCTCTCCATCTTTCAAAAAGAAAGTTCTCTTATTTCTTGGCATTTCTTATTAAAATGTTGAAATGAAAGAAGGCTTTAAGGAAAGTATTGTGCTAATCATTCATAACAGACGGAGAACTTGAGTTCGGTCACCTAACTAAGAGATCGTGCTTAATATTTCTTTATATAAAATTTTTAGAATTTAAAATTTAAATTATTAAAATTAAGAAGTTAAGAATTTATCAATAGCTTACATTACTGGTAATCGAGCTCAATCTTTGTATTAACAAGTTATCACTTCATATACTTTTGAAAAATGAATTGATCCGTCTTAAGAAACTGTTTCCTATTGACAAATGATAACCAACAGAAACAAGAGGTTTGCTTTCCCCATACTTTTGAAAGAATAGAAGATGGCTTCTTCATCCATATAACTCAGCAGGCATACCCCACCCCATCCAAAAAAAAAAAAAAAAACTGTGTGCCGCATGCATCCCAATAATTTTATTGTCCAATAACTTTTAACTGGTGGGACTCGACACAATCTACCAAAGCCGATAGGCTGATGCAATCACTGCCCTGATAAAGAGAGCAAAGGCTGTAAGGCATGTGGAAGAGAGATAGATGGCAAAGAAGAAGACATGAATTATAAGAAAGAGAGAGTGAAACCCAACAAAACCTAGCGTGCAAGCAAGGACGAATCATTATATTCTTCTATTCTTTGTGTCTGTCCACTTGCCTTCAAAATCAAAGTGTAAACCAAAAGAACCCCAACAGTAAAACCAAACTCATGATAACATGTGTTTCCTATCTCAAGATGTCAAACTAGAAATTGTTTATGTTTTTTTTCGTTTTCTGTTCAAATCATAAAATGCTCAGTTAGTAACAATTCTGCCTCTTCCTGGTAGCAGTAACTTAAAATTGTTCAAAAAGACCATGAAGATGCCAGTTAGTGTCAATTTTGGCTCTGCTGGTAGCAGTAAATAGAAATTGTCTCAAATACCATGAAGATGCTAGCCAATATCATCATCTTTCTTACAGCAGAAATAAAAGCATTCCTCAGCTCTGCCTTCTTTACAGAGGCCTAGTCATGTAAACAGGCTTTATGCATCAGCTCAAGAATGAATTTTGGCTTTTTAATCATTTCCAATATAAACTTTATTCCACTGATGGACGGCAATGCATCAATTCCTACAAGGGTCCAAAATTTTGTTATGTATTCTAATAAAACAAACCAGATAAAGAAAATGGCAAATATATATATATATATATATATGTATGTACTCAATTCAGCTAGAGTAAGTCTACACTTGAGGGCATCAAGAAAAGGAAACATGTCTCAATTCCTAACAATATGGAACAGGTTCTCTATTATCTTAAATAAACTTGATCAAGAGTGCTTTTGTTACCTGAGACATCACAGGCAGCACATCATCGGCATGCACCAGAATACAAATTGCTAAGAATTATTTCAGCAGAGTTTGAAGCCACAAAGCTCCATTAAAAATGCAGTCAAGACAAAATTAGATACAGAACAACTTAGCATCAGCAGGACGTAAATTGAACATAATCAGAAGCCAGTCATA